ACTTTTTCAAGTACACGGATGAAGTGGGAACAGAGACACGCCAGAGTGGAACCATGGAAATGGAGGACTGAATAGTGTTTGGATGTTTTTGGCCACCACTACCTTTGCTTTCCTGGGATCTGTAATAGCTAGATCACACCGTGGAATCTCCAGGATCCAGATGGAGCTCTGCTTGATAGCAGTGATTTGGTCCCGGACAACATGTCCAAGTTGATCCCGGAGATTGATGACAAGGGAGAGGATTCGGTACAACCAGGGACTGGGGCCAGTTTCAAGTGCATTACTTAGAGCTCAATGCTAGCAGCGTGTGGGTGGAAGAGTTTCAGAAACATATATAGCATCAAAGTACACCCGCAACTAAGGCTGGTGTTCCCTACATTGCAGGAGAACTCTTCCCCGTTGGGTGTGATCACCCATTTTTTTGGAGACACTAGGTCGTAAGATCGACCAGGCTGATCTCGAGAAGGTGGGGAGCATGCTCTCATGTTTAGATCCATGAACCTTTTGGCGCCAAGGAGAAGTTGGAATCCAAGAACTCGGACAAAGCAAAACAGCCCCATGACATCCAATACTGGGCATGACTAGGGGCACGTGGCATGACATTTGCGTGTAGGGCTGCACTGTGTCACTGTCACCAATGTGTTGCAAGGTTAATGGGGAATCTTGACAACATTCTGGGCATGATGAACCAGGGCTATGACGAGCTGGCCAAGCTTCAAGCAGAAGCTTTGGTGGGTAAGTGAGGCCCTTAGAGAAAACAATCCCCTATCAGCTTCAAAACAGACCCCAACAAAAACTTGCAGTCGAACCCAAACCTGGCTTCTTACACTAGCTTGCAAGGTACTAGTATAATAAAGTTGACCGGGTCTAAGGTGTGACGTGCCAGCCATCAAAGAGAAGATGAAAGATGTGACCAAGACCGATGTAGCTCTCAACAACCTTTTGGTACGTGCCAGGACAAGTGTACCCATTGTGTGCGAATGAGTTGGCCCTTACCCTGCCCTTGGCTTTTGCCTTGGCTTTCCCCTTCGCCTTTTGCGAACCACGAGGTGGACGGGGAGCATCTGTACGATCTGTACCCTTTCCAGTACCCTTTCCCACAGGCGCCGTCAGGGACTTCACATTCCTGGAGGGGCAGGGAACTTTCACAAGCAAAAGGATGGGGTAAGGGCCAAGAAGGTCAAGGGTGAACATGCTGATGAGAACTAGCTCATCCAGCTTTATCCTCATGCCATATGGTGTGGGGACCGCGGGTCGATTTGGGTCAACCGCAAGGTTGAGTCTTCTCACAATTTGGCTTGTTACACACAGATCGATCTACCTGTGTGAAAGCCTGGGAGCTCAAAAGAAGAGAGCTTTGCACACGTGAGTAGCACTAGTTAGCTGTATTCATCTTTGGGGTGCACTGGCCTCGCTCCACACCTCTTGCACATGCAAGAGGGCCATGAATGTCAATTTAATTTGTTTGCCCCACAGGTGCCTGGAGAGAGGATGATGAACATCACGAAGGCCAGGAAAGTTCTTTCCTGCGGTTGCTGAAGTCACAGTAGGTTTCGTCTGGCGTGCATTTACGATCATCTTGTTTGTGAAGGTGGAGATGATGGGTCAAGCCAAACACCATCCGACTTTGCAGATGAGCTCATGCGTGGCTTTGAGATTGGAGCCACTTGCTTTCAACATGTTGTTTGCAATGTACCTGAACTTGCTATATTTCCACAACCCACAACAATCACTGGCCTAGGCCGATAGTGCCTTTCGCGTGGTGCGCCTGGCCCGAGTCGCTTCAAATCGGATGAGACGGTTGGGACTCCCGACTTGCCCAGCAAACTCTTTCACTTTAATACCTTTTCTTGTTACATTGTTCTAGGGGTCTTCCCAAAACAGAACTATGTTGATCTTGGGTTGTCAAGGAGTAAAAGACCATGAGCTTGAAGCTATTGCATCTTCAGGGCGGACATCTCGAAAAGGCTACCGCAATATCTCCCGTAACTTCCACAATCGTTTGGAGCGAAAAGGCTGGAGGCTTCCAGTGAGAATTTCCATGGTGCCAGTGTGGGTGCGGCAGCACCGACCCAAAGTGACAGAAGTCCAGATTGAGTACCCCATGATAGCGCTCAAGGACTGGGCTACCTACATGCTTAATAGCAATCAATCTAGTTTCTTGCTGGGGGGCTATGACATCAAGGATGTAGATGGCTACTCGCGCATGTATTTGGAGTTTTGGCATCGATACCGTGAATTGGACAGTACACACCCTTTCTTTGAGCACCACCCACCCGATGAGTGGGGGGAGATGCATACCTTACCTTCTCCATGGAGATGAAGGACGTGGTAAATCGAAGGTTCCCATATTAGTCCAATCTTTTCAAATGCTTATTGCGCCAACTGGCATTGAGTCAACCAACATATCAGGGCAACTAGGTTGTATTGAACAAGCTTTTTTTTCCCGGTTAGTACATTGCCCATGTTCTATCTGCAGGCCAGAACCCCATCCTCCTGTCCACCGTCCACCACGGCCTAGGCACTCGTTCACCACGCGGCTTCTGGCCTCAATGATGCCGGCAAACATGTACGCAAAGGGTGACAAAACCATGGATTGCATTGGGAATTTCATGAAGCAAGACCTGACAAAGTGTTATTTTGAGGGCGTGAAGGCACCCAGTCTCAATAGTTCAACTTTAAAGGCAAGAAACCTGTTTACCCAATAGGCTAGTGTAAGGGTTCTTCTTTTTGATCAACTCCACTATCTCAGCAACTCGACCCAGCCACCTAGGCTATGACTGGAGAGGATCAGCCACGAGTGTTCTTCTTTGTGCTGATTGGAGTGAAGGGTGATTGGCCCTGGTTGAGAAAGTGTATGGGGCTGTACACTGGGCCAACCTCATTGAGGATTTGTCATATGTGCAATGAGCCTGCAGCTAGAAGGAATTGGCCAATGTTTTGTATGGTACCACTTTTTTTGGAGGATAAACCGATGTACTGGTGCACCCTCTACCTGAATGCCACTGCAGGCTTGGTATCATTTTGGACGAAACGGATGCTTGAGGTCTTGGGATAGGACAAGCCCACCTCCATGGAAGGCCAAACGATCGGTACTTCGAGATGTCCCTGGTGCAGATGACCCATCCCGAATCAAACCCGATCTTGCACATATTTGGGCAATTGGTACAGGCAAAGAGTACGTTGCCTCAACAATCATCTTGTTTGCCACCAGGATCAAGCTTTGGCCCGGCCGTGCTGTTGGAACGAGGCTTGAACAGGCCTACCGCCAGTTTCGAGAATGGTGCACTGAGCACAAACAAACCTGCAAAATATCAGACTTCCAACTTCGGACTTTCAAGATCCAAAAGCTTCCTGCCTGTTATCTATGTAGTTTACAGTTTTTTGTTTTCGGGATTCCTTCCAAGCCCACCCATTGCACAGCTCAGGTTGAGGCAGTACCCCACACTCCGAGGACAGGGCCACGACTGCATCGTGGTCCACAAGTGGTTGTCAGACCTTTGCGCTGGTGTTTCCACGGATGACTTGGATACTGGGTGCACATAGTTGGAAAGGAAGGGGACATAAGGGGACCACACTCGTAATTAAAAAGAAATTGGAGGGTGCATCGACCATCATATCTCTCAGGACCCGAATGACCTCGAGCTCTTTCAAGCCGTCAAGTACACGGCGGATTGTGGAAATCACTGGTTCAGATCTTTGTATAAGTACGGAGTCTGGATGCCAGGTAGTGAGATTGCTCGGCTGGTTGATGTTGCTTGGGGACTGACTGACCCTTGCAGTCACATGGTCAAAGCTTTTCTATGCACCATCGAGTATGGGGATCGGGCAAACTGCTCTAGTCGACGTCTTTTCTACTGTAATTAGTACCCTTTTGATTTCCCAGCGCTCCAGGAAGGATATGGGTGCTGTGCAAGCTTGTGCGCACGTAGAGATCTTTGCTTGTTCCGTTCAAAGCCCAAACTGCACATGCACGATCACATCACGCTTCTTGGATGTGATGTAAGTGATTTTCCCTATGAAATGCAAAGGGGTTTGTTTTGGTAGTGTATGGTAGTGTGACGGTGACGTGTGATACCCCAACCATCCTCAGCCAAGATCAGAGCTGCAGCACCAGGCTGTGACCCAGCAAACAAGCTGGGTCATCAACCCTCTATGCCACAAAGCTGCATCCAACAACTTATTTGGACCATGGCGGACCATGGAGATTCATGCTAGTGACACATGGTTCCCTTCCTGGTGCGTGGGTGCATTTGTGAACCGTATAAGGCTACAGCTGCTGGCAAGATGAGGACTTCATCGGAAAGTGCTCGCGAATATCGCGTCGCACACACCAGTTTAGCACATGCATCAGAAGTTTCCAGAGAATCCTTATGCTGTACAAGCGCTTGTTTGCTGCCTAACATGGGCAAGCTCCACTGAGGGCCCCGGCGCCAAAAGTCACTTCCCAGCTCGTGTAGTGCACATGGGCATAGGGATGAAGGTGGGCAGGGTTAAGGGGAGTTCAGAACACCATTTACCTCAACATCCTCGAGCACTTTTTAGAAGCACGTGCAGAAATCCAAGGGTTTCACATATTTACCTCCAAACGCGCAACAATTTCTCGTAGCAGAAATTTATGTTACAAATGAAGCTCCAGGTTTGACCAAAAATCGATGTTCTAAACATTGGCGCTGGTGCCGACCTGCAGTGCTTGCCACGTGCCCAAAACCGGCCGAATACGTCGGATACCCTCTATGGGACCGAAGACGGACGCGATGCTTGGATGCGATGTGGAAATGCTTGGGTGACCATGCCGAACATGGACTATACTAGGCCATCTCGTGCCGCCATTTGCGGGAGTCGAAGACACCATAAGAGTCCATAAGAGCTAGTGAAGCTAAGGACAAACTGCAACCTGAGGTGAAATACCACGATGTTGATCGTTCTTGCCATGGGCCTTTAAACGGCCAGGTGATGCCAGCGGCACGACATCAGGTCCGCCCGACCGACCATCCCAGGCAGAGAAGCTGGCACCACGAGCCGTGATGGAACCCTGGCGAGCACGTGTCAGCTTTGACGTCGGTTCAACGAGGTTCTCCGGTGCTCTTTTTCAACCAAAAAGAACAGTCCTGGATCTTCAAATGCCATGTCGTTTTTGTTTATGTTCTTGGTTGTTCTTGGTTGTGGTTGTTGTTGTTGTGGTGGTTGTGGTTGTGGTTGTGGTTGTGGTTGTGGTTGTGGTTGTTGTTGTTGTTGGTAGAGACAAAAACAGCCGCCCAACATAGTTGTCACATGTTGCAAGTCAGGGATTTCAATGGGATTCTGTTAGGGATAGGGTCGAAGGTTTGGAGAGATGTTAGTAGCTGGACTTCTTGTTCTTGTGGTACTCAAGTCTTGGTTGGTCTGCTTCTTTTTCTTTGTTGTGTTGTTTTTTTTGGGGGGGGTCAAAAAACAACAACGGGGTTGCAGATTTTGTTTCTAGGGGGGGGTAGAGACAACCACATCTCTTGGAAGGGGGGGGTCCAAAAAACAACCACGGGGTTGCAGTTTTTGTGTCTAGGCTGTGGTAGAGGTTGAAAGTAGAAGTTTTACAGGGTTTACTTAACCAGTTACAATAAGCATCACCAGTAGCATGACCCTCAGAGGAGGTTCATAGACCCTAAGAAGGCGTTTAAATCGACCATATTGTTCCATTGGAATCCAAAAACTTCCAGGAGTCTCCAAGAAAAGATTGATTTTTCAGTGCATAGATTGAGAACCGGGTTTCCACCCCCTCGCCTCCGCACACGCCCCGCGCACTGTCCACACATCCCGGGGTGGGGGGTGTCTACCACTAGTAGTAGTAGTAGTAGTAGTAGTAGTAGTAGTAGTAGTAGTAGTA